TCTATCTATCTATCTATCTATCTATCTATCTCTGTTTCTATATATATATATATATATATATACATATCAATATCAGTCTGTTCACATCTATCTATCTATCTATCTATCTATCTATCTATCTATCTATCTCATTATGTTCATAACTATCTCTCTATCTATCCCAATATGTTCATATCTCTCTTTATGCCAGTCTGTTTATATCGATGTCAGTCTGTTCCTATCTATCTATCTATCTATCTACTTCTGTCTGTTCCTATCTACCCTATCTGTCTTTCAGTATCGATCCATTGATATCACCGCATATATTGTTCTTTCCAGTAGTTGTATTTTTTTATATATATATATATATATATATATATATATATATATATAGATATAGATAGTTCGATAGATAGATAGATAGATGAAATTGTACAATTTGATTATTATAATTATTGCTTATAGTATTATTCTTTCTTTCCCGAAAGCCGCATTTAATGGGATTTTCTGTTTATCTGGTCATTCTTCTTCCTTGTTCAAGTCTCTAAAGTGAGAACTTTACTTTTTGTTTGTACGTTGTAAAAAAGTAAGCAAATTTTGAAACTTGTTCTTCAACCAGTCTTTAACTTGATTCGAAATCTTTCTTTCTTTTCCTTTCTACTCGATCTTTCTTCCCATTTCTCGTCGGAGGTAAGGTGGGTCTTTACCTCTTATTGACGCCGTTCGCTCAAGAGTACAACTGTAACAGCTAGCCAAAATGTCTACCTTCGAACTCGCTCGTCTGCATATCTGATTGTTTATTCAACTAATTTACTTCTTTGGAAGTATTATGTCGCTGCCCTATTTTCTTTTCTAAGACTATTTTTTTCTGTGATAAGTTTTATCTCAATTTCCCGGCCAACTTTATTCTGATCGGAGACATTTTTAATTTAGTACGGGTTAAAACTTAATAGTTAATCATCTACCATCTAAACTAATCATTTACCTAAGTAATCTACCCTTACACATTTGTTCAAAACTAATCCTACACCTGAGCCCAACCGCTTTTAATCAGATATTAAACTTTCTTTTTCTAGCTAACAGTTGTGGGGAAGATGTTAATTGAAAGAGGGCTGATTCTCTTGATCCGTGAAAGAATAAGCAACTGACTATGACGTTGCCGTTGTTTAAATCGCTTGGATGAACCAGAATATCGAGTCATGGATCCGGCGTTTGCAGTCCAGGTTCCGACTAAAAATTGAAAGGCAACCGGGCAAGAGCGGGTGAAATGAAATAGGTCACCTCTTTTTTAACCTCGGCACATTTTGAAGGTATAATGAAAATATCTGTTATGGCACACGCGAAGCAATTGTAGAAGTGGACTACTGATCACGTGACAACGCAAGACAACACTGTCTAAAAAAAAATGATACCATAACAGTGTATATAAGAATATAAAGCGTTGCTACCAGTTGCTTTTACTATGAGACAACAGTTAAAATACAAAAAAATGGCTTCATTTGGTGTGTTCTGTTTTACGGTATATCAACCTCAATGCCGTTAAGATTTCTATCTCTGGTAGAATTTTCACCCAAAATGTATTGCTGGTAATATTTATTTTCTTCAAAAATGTATTGCTGGTAATAATTTTTCCTCAAAATTTTGTTGCTGGTATTAAAACCTATTTTTATACTTTCATAATGTTTTGACCCCAATTTGGGGGTTAACTATTTGCCCATAGCTGGGACCCTAAAAGGTGCTACCGCCCGGGATCAATGTGGACCTGAGAACACCAGCAATTAAGACGTGATTCCGCGCTCCTAAAAAAACACTGATAAGATCTTTGCAGTCGGATGTAGTTTATCGTCTTACCCAGGACGCAAAAATACAAAATAAATTGTAAAGTTAATTTGTAAGGAAGCTACGGCTACATACACTGGAATCGCATATTTAGTTAACCTTATATCTTTAACCTCTTCACATCGTCATCAGTAATCCATTCATTTTATTATTACCCACTTATTTCTTTTATGTTTCAATACGAGTAGAAAGGTCTATCGCTCGGTTCACGCACCTCTCCTATTTTTGTAAAAGAGCGGAAGTTTATCCCTTGTTTCCTTCTTAGGGTGGGTTTTCCGGTTCCTTCTGAGGCCTTAATAAGGGTGGCTATCAATAATGTTTGGTGATACGATTGACTGGAGTCTACACGACTGAGAATAGCTGATTGGAAGTTTTCTGGTTGGTGACCGGTGACAAGAAGCCTGAACTCTTAGGAAGCGTTTACAGAGGCTGCTCTGATTAACAGTCGCATAATATCGGGGTTCTGCGGTACCATATCGCGCATAGTTATCCCAGCAAGCACTTCCGGTGAACAACACTGAGGCTACGCTATGATGCAGTCTACGCCAATTCCCGTCAGTTCGTTGTCTTTGACAAACGGCAGTTATTATTATTCTTGGACTATTCCACTGTCGCATCCGACAATATGACTATTGGTGAATTAGTTCCCTTGCTTAAAAAGTATACCTTTTTTTGCTAATGTATTTTCGGGTAATTCCGTCTTAATTTCCTTAATTTCTAAAACTGTTACTAGGGGACGCTCTCCAGTTCTGTAAATACACGACGATATCTTTTCTCGTCCTCTCCTCTTAATTTTCTGCTCATACGACAACAATGTAATTCCCTCGCAGAAAATTGCGTTTTTCCTACCAGGGGAAACGCATTAACATTATACACACACACACGTACGTACGCAAATTCACATACTTTGGAACACAAACTTTCCACATTCATTTGTTATACACACATTATTGTCTTTGCCAGTTGTAACCTTTTTTAATACATATTATTTTGTTTGTATATATATATATATATATACATACACACACACACACATTGAAGTCAACACTTAGAGGCGACAGGCTGTTTCATGCTAGACGCAATCGTTAAGCCACGAGTGTTGTTTCTTTTCTCGGCTATTTATATATACGGGTCAGTGGTGCATTGTGGGTAGTCTATTTGGCGATTATTTTGCCGGAATTCGTTTATTTGTTTATTTATTTGGGTAAGATTATTTTGCTTGCATTTATTTATTTTTATTTTTTATTTTTATTTCTTATCTTCTATATTTATTAATTTTTTTATTTTAATCGGTGTTTTATTAATGTAGTAAAAATTGTTTATATCGCTTATTTAATAGTTTTGTTTTGTTTTTGGAAGATAAAGCTATTTATTCAATTTTGGGGTTGATTGCTGATGTTTATTCTAACTGTTATCTTGGCGGGAGCAGTTTTTAATTTGGTTATTACTTCATTTATTTATTTGGAGTGATTATCTTTACTTATTTTTTCTAACGGTTAATTTATCGGGTTCGGTTTGTTAGTGTGGTTGTTTATTTATTTATATGGATTAATTTAGATTAATTCATTTTACTTGTATTTTTATTATTTATTATTCTGTATATTTTATTTACTCTTTTCGGTTTTCGATTTTTAAGTAACGTAGTATTTTTTTTATTGTTATATAACAGTTATTTCGGACCATTTTTGGTTTGATTTTTATAGCCTAACTAATATTTTGTTCATAATGGTTTGTTAATTTGTTTATTATTTACTTTATTTATTTGGGTTCATTGATTTTGTTTTTTATTATTTATTTATTTATTTCGTCTATTCTACGGGTGTGATTTGATAATTTGTTTGGGTTAATTTATTTTACTTATTTTATTGTCATTTTGTTTATTTATTTTATTCGTTTATTTTTTTCTGTTTTCGATTTTTAAGTAACGTAGTAAAAAAATTGTTTTCATGTCTGCATTTTGAGATGAGCTCGGATCGTTTATTTAATAACTTATTTTGGTCTGGGAAGTTAATGATAGTTATTATTTTCCTCCAAGGAAAGTTTGCAAGTTTTGGATTGGTTGTTGTAGGCTGATGATCTTTTCCTTATTTTCTAAGATATTTTTGGTGTGATGTGCGTTTTGTTTTTAATTTCCCTGATATACTTAGAAAGAATCGTGCTGTTCGCATATTGACTATTTGGGAAATATGTTTTGTGTGCATAATTTCTTTGTTTCCAGGGTTCATCAGTTACTCCTATGTATACTTCTTCTTCATTATCTGGTGCCTTTACCGTGGCTTGGTATATTAAGTTGTTTTGTAAACAATAACAAAATTATATATATATATATATATATACATATGTATATATGTATCGGTTTTTGTTGTTTCTGTAGGTTTCTTTATGGTGGATTCAATCTCCGAGTAAGCCATGTTTGTTGTGAGCATTTCAAGAGACACACGTGTTCATCTCACGACATAGACCTCATCCTTTGTTTCCTGTTTAGGATTGGGTTTCCAGTTCCTTCTAACGTTTACTTCCACTTTATAGTTCTAACGTCTCCACCTGAACTCTGAAATTTTATAATTAAATCTTGACCTCTTCAAGTCTAGAATTAGGTAGCTTTCCTGTTATATTTCTTTTCCTTACGCTAATATAACTCCACGCAGGAACCATCTACCGTGGGCCTTGTATTGGCTGAACATTAATAAAAAAAAAAAATATCGCTTCTTCCTTTATTGTTTCCTTTTTCTCTTATGACTGTTGCTTGCAAAATAGTGTAGGTCATCTCTCTATACTCGTCCGTGTGTTCAGAGATTTCAATGTCCATCATATCAAGTGATTTCATCACTGACCTCGCTGGCACCTAGACTTTGGACATCTCAGTTTCCCAGAAGCTATAAACCAGAGGATCACTTCTTCCAACTAAATCCGAGCGACAGACCCAATTGTAACAGACCTCTTTTTGTGGTTGTTCGTAATCACTGCAACTGTGGTCAAAATGAAGCAAAGTCATTATTCACTGATAGAATAAAACACGGTATAATATCTCCGAAACTTGGTTCTAGAGATTAATGATAGCACTGCAAGTGTGTATTCAACAAGAGCAAATCCCCAGTACTCATCGCTTCGATTTATTTAAAATATTGATATTTACGGCAGATTAAACAGAGTTTTTTTTGTTTGCTCAGAAATTCTCTTCCAACTCCACTGTCAAACAATCTTGATTATATCTATCTGATTTTCCCCTTAGAATGGAATCTCTGCTAAGTAATATGTACGTAACTCTGTCCACTGGTTTCTGCTATAATTTCTAAACTAGATCCCCACACAGTATCCATGTAGTTGTCCTACAGAAATGTGTTCTTGAGCTGGTTACTGAGCTGGCTCCTGAATTGGTTCCTGGTATCTCTAAAACTTTAGAATAAATTATTTGCAATTTCTTGCATTCCAGTGTGTTTGGAAGTTCTCCCCTATATTAGGAAAACCCGTGGAACCTTTTGACTCCACGAATTATCAACCTATGTGTCATTTACCTCTTTCTGATGAGGCTCTAATCAACGCTGAATCGGTTAAGTATTTTACTTGGCAAGGCCTCCTTTCAGATAAATAATATGGCTTCCCTGTCGCCAGGTCTACTGCCAATGTGTTACCGGCCAAGATTGAATTTGCCTATCAAGCTTTAGATAAAAACGGCAAATTTTGGTCTCAAGATACCTCGAAGTCCTTCATCGTGGTTTGGCACGCTGACCTTCTCCACATATTCAAAGGCTACGGTGTCTTTGGACTAATATTAGGCTTAATCTAATCGTTTCTAATTACTCTTCTAGGTCATTTTATATTAATGGGGGGCTCTTTCTTAAGACATATGCTGTTTCTGATATACAAACGTAGTTTCAAAATAGATATTTTTTAAGCATTTCAACCCAAGCAAGGCGGGAGTGCCACTAGGACACATGGGGTTACAGAGAGTGAGAGCAAGAGTAAAGAGACATGAGTGAGGAAAAGATAAAGAGAATAGATTATTAGATCAAGGCATTAGAAGATGTCGATTGACATTGCATTCGAATATTCGAAGACTATAACTGTCAGGGAAGGAAGTAAGAGGAAGGGAGTTCCACAGACGGGAAGTGCGAAACATGAAGCTATTGGAGTCGAAGAGACGGCCGCATTTAATTGTTTCGACAGTGAAATGGTGAGACTGAGATGCCAACCTAGTAACACGCTTAAATTCATGCAGTTTGGGAACCATCGAAAATATCTCTTCGGAGTGCAGATGATAAAACTATTTATTCCTTTCAAAACCGATAGAGCTCAAATCAATTGTTAACTGGGGCAAGAAATATCTTGCAAAATTTAACGCCTCCAAAAGAAAACCGATTTCAATTTATTACCACTGCGAACCTTTTCTCCCCGCCACCTCATGCCTGATGATAGACGCCCCACCGTGTAAGACCAGCTCACGTTTTCCACTGACATATGGATTTCTTGTATTGAATCACTTGCTAGGACTAATTTTAAGAACCTTGGTCCATTGTGTCATACCAGATAATCTTACTCGTCAAGATCCATTGGGCGTATTTATAAATCTACCATTCGTCTATGAATTGAATACGGCTGCCATGTCTAGTCTGGTCTGGTGATCCGGTTGTATTTATATTCATATGAATATTCCTTTTACTTTCCTGTGGATATTATAATCAGGAGTGTCATGACAAATGAACACCAGTTAATATCTGATGATTGCCTAGAGTATGAAACATTAAGATGTTCTTCTTTTACTTCATTTTTATCTTTGCACTCCCTAAAGCAAATTGGTGTATTACATATAGAGAAAATGTTAAAATTCCTTTACTGCGACGTTGGCCTAGAGGTAAGATATCTGACTGATGTCAAATCGGTCGGGTTTCGGATTGAAGCAATCGGACATCCAGCTACACTGGGGAAGATGGGAGACAGCGAAACAGTCTGTCTGTGGATGACTATATATATATATATATATATATATATATATATATATATATAAGACGCAATCGATAACTGATAACTGACATCCATTAGACGTGGCACGTGGAACTAGAACAGTCTACCCCAGTGAGCGAAATAAAGGGTTGTAGGTGATCTGGGATTGCAAAAGAAAATATTTGTTGCCGATTACTTCCACAACGCAGAGAATAAATCACTGAAAGTCGAGATTCGAACATCGGGGGGGGGGGCAGAAAGAAATGCCGTAAACTCAATTCGCAGGTACTATCTCACAATTCACAATGCACATAACCTGTCAGAAAAATAACTCACTCTCCGACAAACGTGGTAGCCAAAATACCCGATTTTTTCTTCTCGATTCGAGAACACCAACTGCTTTTATCGGCCGATCCTTTTTTCCATTCGTTGACAACTGGGAGAGGACGCTCAATTTTTGCATATCAAAATACTTTGATACCGACTCCTGCGACGGACTTGTTTTTTTAATTTAAATATTCCGTCTTCAGCATGTCATACGGAATACGTGCCCTTCTTTTTCGCCACATTTTCCGTCGTAGGATACACGCGACGCGCTGTCGCTTGGTTTGACGAGGTAAATCGACGTTTTCTTCGCTTTTAGACAATCGCGAGTCTCCAGAACTTCCGTTTCTTTAATGTCTTTCAAATAACAATTACTGTTCTTGAGATAAAATAGGGAAGTGATTAAACGTTACTTTCTCGAAAGGTAAAGTCGAGAGTTCTCTCGTCAAGCTTTGATCCTCTTCTAAGACTTCACATTACATCACATTATATTGTTTTATTCATATCTGTAGGCAGGAAGAGACAGTTTATGCCTTTCCCAAGAAGATTAGCGGTAAATCGAGCGTAATTTGAACTCGGCTTGCCCTGTGCATATTTCCATGCCAATAACTGCTATCCAACTCGTCTAATGCACTTATTACAACGAAAATAGGACTCAGTTACATGAGAAACATTGTTCAAGATTATCGTGTTGATAATACAAACACGAGAAATTTTTCAACAGAACCATTTACGATACGTTAATCTTGTTCTACAGAATAACAACAGGGCACGTAATGAATGATCAACTGAATCGATCAACTTTGATTTTTTTTGGCTTTTGATTTTTATTTCGTTTAGAAGTTGACGTCGGTTGATTAAAAATGGATGCTTCGGCGTAGGCCAGGGAAACATTTGGTGGCGCCTTATATCAATAAAATTATTTCTAAAACCAATGAAAAGTTATTACGAGTTAACAGAAAACTTTTATTTTTTTATACAATTCCGTTTCATTTGATAAGCATGCATCTATCTATCTATCTATCTATCTATCTATCTATGTTCATATATCAATATGTTTATATCTATCTATCTATCTATCTATCTATCTATCTATTTTTTCAGTATGTCCATATCTATCTATCTATCTATCTATCTATCTATCTATCTATCTATTTTTTCAGTATGTCCATATCTACATATCTATCTATCTATCTATCTATCTATCTATCTATCTATCTATCTCAATATGTCATATCTATCTATCTATCTATCTATCTATCTATCTATCTATCTATCTATTTTTTCAGTATGTCCATATCTATCTATCTATCTATCTATCTATCTATCTATCTATCTATCTATCTATCTATCTCAATATGTTCATATCTATCTATCTATCTATCTATCTATCTATCTATCTATCTATCTAGTCCTCAGTCGAATCCATTAAATTCACTTACGTGCTAATACCCTTGGGAACGGTGTGAATCCTCTTCTTCTCCCTCCAGATATGGGTAAATAGCAGGACAGACTGGGTTCTATAGACTTGGATGGCAACTGGTCTAGGAGAAGGAAAATCTCTGAATTCAAAACCTGCGGAGGGTCGTTTGGGGACCTTGTGGCACGTAGTGCACCAGGTCTCTGTAATCGGCCCTTCAAAAAGTGTGGATGGTCCTGCACGAAACCTTCACCACTATAATCAAAATCTCATGTGCTGTTGTCGGGCTGTCGGTTTCCTAGGAACTGATCTGAAGCCTATACATGCGGGTTTGGGGACCGCTTGTGAATTCCAAATTCCCATGAAACTGCAATATTGGAGTCGGCTCAACCTACCCCGGGTGAATGCCGTTACAAGACAAGAAGAGAGATCTATCTATCTATCTATCTATCTATCTATCTATCTATCTATCTATCTATGTTCATATCTATCTACCGATCTCAATATGTTCATATCTATCTATCTATCTATCTATCTATATACAATATATATATATATATATATATATATATATATATATATATATATATATATATATGTATATATATATATATATAATATATATTATTTTGTTAATATCTATCTATCTATCTATCGATCTATTTCAATGTTTATATCTATCTATGTTCATATCTATCTATCTATCTATCTATGTTCATATCTCAATATGTTTATATCTATCTATCTATCTATATATATATACAATATATATATATATATGTATGTATATATATAATATATATTATTTTGTTAATATCTATCTATATATCTATTTCAATGTTTATATCTATCTATCTATCTATCTATTTCAATGTTTATATCTATCTATCTATCTATCTATCTATCTATCTATCTATCTATATATATATATTCCTATGTTCATATCTATCTATCTATCTATCTATCTATTTCACTGTGTTCATATCTATGTATCTATATATATATTTTTTCCTATGTTCATATCTATCTATCTATCTATCTATCTATCTATCTATCTATCTATCTATCTAATCATTTCCTTATTTGCATAGTGTGTCTCTTCCTCTAGCCTGGTTGGACCTCAGTAGCAAATACAGACCCACCTTATTCCTAAATTGTTTAACTACTTAAAGTTTAAGGTTTCTTTCTTTTCAGATCCATTTACTTTGCATACTCTTGTATTTTCTCCCCTTTCTTAATCATCCGATTTTCGTATAAAAGCTAATGAACCTATCAACTTGTTGAAATTTATTTCTTCTCTTTTCACTTCTTCTGACAACGACGACAGGCTATTTACATGCGTAAATTTGTAATTTGTCATTTTGCTTTTACTTCGACTAGGAGCATGTTCCGCAAAATATGGCGACTCTGACGCGATCAATACTTTTATCTCACCGCATCAATACTTTTATCCTATGCGGACAATACTTATCTTACCGCATCAATACTTTTCTCTAAGGGTATTTGGTCGAAGGAATCTTGACCGGGAGTCAAAGTCGGCCGACCAATTTCACATTTTTTTTTAATTCATTTTATTTCGGTCCCTATCGGTGTTCTGACGGCAAGAGGATGGAATTTCCAATATAATTTCCTGTCGTCGTAGTCCTGGCCGCTTTCCACGGCATGCAGTAATAAACGACACCATCAGAAGAGGTTTAGATGCAGCTGGGTTCCCTTCCTAAATCGAACCCGTAGGCCTCGACCGTGGTGATAGAAAGCGGCCGGATGGCATTACCATTTTCCCTTTTAAAATGGGGAAGTCATTGATTTGGGATGCGACCTGTGCGGATACATTTTCAACCGGTAATTTGATCAGGTCCGCGGTTGAGCCAGGATCCGTCTCCCGGGAGGCAGAGATGAAAAAAATAGTTAAATATTCTTCTCTTGCTGATGGATTCTTTTTTTCTCCTGTGGCGGCGGAGACTTCTGGAGTTATTGGCCCTCGTTCGATGGCGTTCCTTCGGAGGATTGGCGCGATTGCGTCTCGATTAAGGGATGAGCCTCGCGAAACAGAGTGGCTCTTGCAGCGTGTCTCACTGGCGATGGTTCGAGGTAATGCTTTCTCCATCATTGCGGCTGGCTGAGGATAGCAACAAAAATTCTTTATAGTTACTTTGTTCAAACTTTTTTCAATAAATAAATTTCCCATTAAATTGTTTATTCATTTAAAATATATTAGAATATATATATATATATATATATTCACTTCAACTAGTTTAGGAGTCCGAAAGACTTACTTTAAAGGTCTGAACATTTAGGCTTATGCACGTTTTCCTGTTACCCTGGTGTTGTTGCCAGATAAAAAGGGAAATCAGCATTCGGGACATATATGCTCATTACATTTATATTCAAAATGTGCGCGTATGTACGTTTGCGAATGCGCATGTATACTTCAGTGATAGTGCTAACAATATTTCTTGAAAATTTAAATCTAAAAATGTAATTCAAACGCAGGCAGTAGGTGAAGGACAGAAAATCAGCTCTCTTTAGTATAATACATAAACTCCTCGCTTAACGACATAACTGTTTAACGAAACCCCGGACTTACGACCCACTATAAAATCTCATGAATATATATATATATATATATATATATATATATATATAATTATTTATTAAAAAAAAATTATAACATAAATATGATATAAAATCACAACAAAAATAGCCATTTTGTTTCAACACCTCCGGTGTCTTATCAAGTGATGGCGTTGAATGTAAAATAAATGGTTTTAAAAGTTTCAAATTAATTAACCATCCTTCGCAAGGGGAAAACGTTGTTACAAAAGCTACAATGAACAATCAAAATACAAGTATAGGAAAATTCCAAAAACTTGACAACGAAGTCATGTTATAATAGCTATTCAGATCTTTAAAATAGGGGTAATATTAAAAAAGAATTTATTCTTACCAATAATTATTAAATTATATGATAAAATTTGATATTAAAATTAAATTAAAATGGCTATTTTTGTAGTGATTTTATAACATATTTATATTATAAATTTTTAAAAATAAATAATTATATCTGCTGTACTCTGTATTGAGCACTCTTTTTAAGAATAGTAATTGTTGGTTATTGGAACTCATTCCATATATACCAATTATATATATATATATATATATATATATATATATATATATATATATATATATATATATGTGTGTGTGTGTGTGTGTGTGTGTATATAAGAGAGAGAAGAAACGGTAAATAAAATCTTCAAAACATTTTATTTTTCTCTTCCCACAATTATTTTTCTTTAACGAGGTTTTATAGGTGGTCGTAAGTCCGGGGTTTCGTTAAACAGTTATGTCGTTAAGTGAGGACTGTCTGTATTATAAATGAAAAGCTGATTTTCCGTTTTCTCTCCTACTGTCTCATTTTGACTTTATATGTCCATATGTAATGTCCGTGTGTATCCCAGTGTTGCGCGTGATTGGCTTAAATACGCTTGTAGTATTTAGTGTACACAAAAGTACACGTTCACTCAATTAGACTGCGTTTAAATTAAGTCATTCGAATGGTACGGCTATCTATAAAATTTCATAACATAAAAAAGAACAATCATTCGGTTCGGATATTGTACGAAAAATTTCAATCCAAAAATAAATCCAAATAAACTCCCCCCAGACCTCAAGTGGAATTCGTACATACAAACCATCGCTAGAGATTCTGGAAAAACGCTGCAAGTACCTGACTCCTCATGCTATTCTGAGCTGGCTGAAAATAAAGAACTGCTGCCATATATAGGCAGAAGCTGAGGCAACCTAGACGTTGTGTAATCGTTAGAAAGCTTGTCTTGCTAGATGAATTACGACTGAGTAGTGAGTTCGATCCTCACTGGGTGCCACATACTTTCGGCCTTGTGCCACATCTAAGCCGGGCTTAGAAAATCACTATATAGGCTGGAGCTGCCCAGTCTTCACTTTCCTGTCTCGATAGAGTCCAAAAGTCTCTCCGCGTCCTTGAAGGTGATGAATTCTTTTCCACCCTACAAACCATTTCGTCGCAGCGATATACCTCCATTTACATAGTGAGTATTCAGAGGAACTACACCAGTTCAAACTGTCACGGCTAGGACCCGCAATTCCACGCACATTGTAGCGAATAATCCTTCGTATCTATTTGGTGAGATGTAAGTTCTCCTCGAGCATCCTCTTTCTACGAATGAAAGCCTTCTAAGAGGTATTTTTCCAATCATTACAAACTTAACCTGTTCAAGTCTAGGGTTAACCGTTATCTTCCACACATATCCGCATAAACTGTGTTCTTACGCTGTTCCCTCTACCTTGAGTGGCTTCCGGGCCTTGTACAGGGTGAACATTAGTTTGCAAATCGAAGTAATTGAATATGTAGCTGGTTTTCGAATCTGTTTTTACGTTTAATGTCCTTTGCACCTCTTTACCGTATTAAATACAAATTAGAAATATTAAAATAGGGGGTGCTGATTTTTCACTTCTTTAAAATAAAACAACATTGCACTTGGTGTGAAAGCTGGAGTTTGACACTGATAAGTACTATCACCAAAAATTAGTCTGGTAGATTTTACCAATCTTTGAGCATTAAAACAATACCTAATTTCCACTGGTTTTGGCTTATAAACCGATTTCAAAATTTTCATGAATAAATTCAAATAAAGTTAATATATTTTGCGTTAGATACATTGAATGAAAAATATATTCAAATTAGAATTCTAATTATAAATCACCACAAGCAAAATATGCATTTAAAAAAAATTATTCGATAAGTAAAAACTGTAAAATTAGAAAAAAGGCGACTAAATGAAAAATATTTATTAGGTCATTAGTTAGATCATAATTAATAAAATAAAAAATAGGTAAATGCGTATAAAACATACTGGACACAAATTATAAGACAAAATGTTTTAAATTTGCATTTGTTCATTGGAAATCGCACTAAAACTACTGCGATGTATAACATTTATAAATCATATT